TACGACGACGAACTACTACTATAAGTAAACGAAACCAACTAAGTAAGTTAACTTCTACGATACATAAGTACGAACAAAACTAAAGTAGTAGTACGTCTACACTTGTACTACTCTCTCTCTCTCTCTCTCTCTCTCTCTCTCTCTCTCTCATTGTTTATGGAATCATAAAAGGATAATGAGAGTTCCATACCACTTTCAGTGGTGGCTCTGTCAATGGAAGTAGCCAGAGCTACAGAGAAAAGTATCTCTATATCACATTCCTATTCTGAATTCAGGGAGCCTTTGCAATCCAACATGGTTTATTTGCTTGCCTTGCCAGCATGCATTTAATCTGTAAGACCCACTGATATTTTGATTAAATGCAATCCGACCATTTGAATTTCCATGAGAGACTTTAAATTGTAAAACTAACAAAAAGAAGACCAATAATTAGCATTGTAAAATGGATGCATGTTTTACTTCTTATCATCATAGTTTTCTCTAAAGAAACATTATCTCAATTTACAATCCATGAAGCATCCTCCGAAATTCTTTGCTTGAGCTATTTCTCTGTATAATGATATATCCTGATTAGTTGTTACAGTAATCTCTCTTGTTTTAAGAGATGGTTTCAGGTGGGTTGCAGCAGTTGATTCTCAAGTTTGGTGGTCTAGAGGTTACACACATTAAAAGAAGAGAATCTAATGAAATTAAGATTTCTTTTTATGCCTTCGTTTCACAGTTATCTTTTTCTTTCCACAATTTCTTTCTGTCCTGTTTTGCTGTTTTTGTATTGCTATTAGTGTTCTAAAAAAAAATGCACCTGTAGATAGAGAACTTGAAAATGCAGTATGGTTGTTAATTACCAATGAATCTTCACAATTTGTTATTCAGTCTGGGTTCAGATATCAAATTGATGGCTTCTCAATACATTTTGATACATTTGGTTGCATCCAATGCCTACAAAACTAGAGTTGGGCTTGGACCTCAGGCCCAAGATTGGCTGAGTTACTTGGGCAAGTCTGAGTCCACTCGTTGGAGGCCACGCCGAGATTGAAAGAAGCCCCAAAGAAAATGAAATAGGAAAATTCAGAAAAATCAGTAAAAAACTTAAAAAAGGTCAAAAGTAAAATATAGGAGAGAACAGAAAAAAGCATATAAAAGGATGGAAAATGATAGTTTGTTGGAAAAGCCTACTACTTGGAAAACCGCGAGCAACATAAATTTTTTGTCAAAGAATCTGCTTGCTTGAATTTGGCACATGTTGATATGCATGCTCCCAATAGTACGGTAACCATCCACTTCCTCAGCAATTCAAGATTAACTTGGTCGATCCTACGTAAGGTTGGTAGTCGCCCACAAATGTTAAATATCCATTCACAAAAGTTAATTAAAAAGTTATATATATATTTTGTTAATCTTAATACATGAACACCGAATTATACATTTCTAACAATTGACTACAGAAATCAATTAGGTTAGCTTAAGTGAGACAAATGGTGCAAACTTTTGGAGAAATTGCAGTTTTGTCTTAAAATACATGGAGAGAGTATACTACAAGAAAATTGCAGTCACCTTTCCATTTGACGTGAAATCAGACTTTTGGAGAAAATGAAGTTTTATCTTAAAATACATGGAGAGAGTATACTACAACAAAATTGCAGTCCCCTTTCCATTTGACTTGAAATCAGGTGGTTGGGGGTCTGTGATTTACCGTGCTCAAAATCCTTTAAAACGTTTTATCGAATTTTCCGACATACTCCTAGCTGCTTAATTTCATGTTTGATAGCTACGAGTGAGATTGTGAGCTTTTTGTTTCAAAAATAAATGGCAAATTGCCCATTCATAAGGTTTAGTTTTTATCTTAACTTATAAACGTCAAATTATCCATTCTTAGAAATGAATTACAAAAATCAATTAGCTCAGCTTTAAGGGCGTCTGTGATGCAAGATTTAGTTAGTACAAGAATTAGTTGTCAAAAGTTGTTGGTTTAATGCAATATGTTTTCATTTGGGTTTACCTTCCCAGAAGCCCTGAAATTTCCATTGGTTTTAGCTTTAAAAACATTTCGATTTACTTTGACATACCTTTATTTCGTGGGATTAACATTCCTAACTTGGGGTTTTTTATGGGGAAAATAGCACTTAAATGGACATTTGGATAGCTACATTTTAAGTGTCATGATACATCTTTAAAAAATATAAAAATAACTAAAATGCCGTCGAGACCTTTGAACAAGTAAGGGGTACTGTTGATAATTGACGCACATAAGTTGAGTGAGTCAAATGATGGGGTTTACTGTGAACACACAAGTTCAACCAAAGACAAATCACTGGAATGACTCACAATCTTGAACTGGGGCAAACGGATCATTTATTAAGATATGTTTAAGGTTGTACCCAAGTGAGATATGTAAAGTTAAAGGATGTAGTTTTTTCGAGGCCCAAGCTTCATGAAAACAAAATAAATAAATAAATAAATATATATATATATATATATAAAAAAATCCTAAGGATCTATGAAAACTTATTTTTGAGGCGAAATGAAGAGTTTAGATAATGAGTTACCCTTTTCACAACCACAACGAACGGACGGTCAAGATTGAAATGATCGATTTGAAAGGTTTCACCATAATGTTTTGGTGAGTTTTAATCGAAAGTAAAAGGATGGAACGATTTGAACCTGTTGAAGAATGGGACAGGACGGCCGAGAAGGTCATATTTGAGATTTAATGAACTCTGAGGGGCATTTTACTTGGGCATCTTTTAGGGTTGGGATTGGCGTGCCTCTATAAAGTTTCCTGCGGCGGTTTTCTCTTTCAGAGTTCCCTTTGGTTTTTGGCTCGGTGTTTCTGGACGGGCCTTTTGCTCTGCTCTGTCTCTGTGTTTTTGGCGTATTTTTTGTTTTCGTTTGCTTAATGTTTCTATCGTTCCCCTTCCCCTTCCCCTTGTTTCTTTAACAATTTCCTTTTATTTTGAATCTGGTTCTTTTTTTATCTCACAAGGATGATGCTCAACGTACGTGTTCCTGATGAGCTCTCTCTCTTTATGACGGTTACACAACCCTCTAAGAAGTTCTGAGTGAGAACCCCTCTTCTTCATCTTATCATATCTTCATTTGAGTGAGTGAGTGAGAATGGAGGCAAAGTGATGATGAGAAAAACGTCTGTCAATCCACTGACAATTTATGATGTCTCGTTTTATATCCCAACAGGTTCTGATTGCCTCCATCTCTCTCTCTCTTTCAATCCTTTTTAATATCCCCATCAATATAATAACTCTCTTTAGCCTCAAAAAGAAAAAACCTCTCTTCCCCTTTCCCTGCCATGTCTTTTCTCTTTTCTCAACATTCATTTTTGTTTCTTTGCATGTTGTTACAGCCTTTTTGGAATTGAAGCATTCATGATAATAACGGATCTGTTTTGTTCAAAACTTCAAAACAAAGTTTTAAAAACATGGTTGTGTCCAAGAACGCCAGTCCTAATAACTGGCTGGTTCTGATCGGTGTGTCGGATGGCAATTTAGCTGGCTCATAGAACCAGATAAAATATTTTAAAAATTTGAGAAAAAAAAAAATTCGTGATAGAAACTGATTTTTAAAACGATCAGAAAATGGTGAATATACATGTAATCTTTGGGGATCACCGGCGGCGGAGGATGCATGGAGGATCGAACTAATAATTCTGACGAATCAGTTTGTATTTCCACAGATTCCTTATTTGGAGGGTAGTAAATAACATGTTTAAAATTTTAGAATGAGAAACTACAAAATTGAAATTTTAGAATGTGATATTATTTCAAGATTTTGAAGCATGAAATTATCTAAAATTTTAAATTTTCAATGAGAGAGAGAAACCATCTCAAATTATTTATTTAAGGAGAGAATTATGAGCAAAACTAGGTAAAAGGATCGAGGATAGTAATTTATTTGGTTGCAGCGTTTAACAAGTATTGGGGGGACTATGCTTAGGCATATATATTTTAGGGGTTACAAATTTTTCTCAAATAAATAGTTTTTTTAAATAAAAATAGTGAATCCGCTGTGATCAGAGGTTTCATTTTATACCGTTCTTAAGTAGTAGATTTACATTGAGGTGGAAAAATTGGCTAGAATCTTTTGAACGGCTCTTAAATGCGTACTAATATTATATGTGTTAGTAAGTGTGATGAATTATGTGTTAGTAAATATAGATAAGTGTGATGTAATGTTTTGTATAAAATCAATTTTAATCGTTTACGGGTGGTGGCCTCCCATTTCTATTCAAAAGCAGCCAAGCCCAAGCCTCAGCCATCGTTTACAGCGAGCAACCGTGTGGCTAAGCCTTGTCAAAGCCCTCGGATCGGAGTGCTGCGTTGCCTTGCCGCGAACCACAATTCTCGAGTCTCACTCCTACATAAAAAATTAAATTTGCTCGTCGCCGACATTGTTTCGAAGCAAAATTCTCTGAGTCTTTCTCCTATCTAGAAATGGGAGACAGACTTTGAAAGGGTGATGACTTGGATGCGCGCATTGGAGCAGCAAAAGTTGAATTTTCTATTAATATTTTTTGTTACGTATTATTAGTTGAGACTTTAGAGTAACATGCCCTATCTTTTTCTTTAAATTCTGAGAAATTTATCCAATTGCACAATAAACTATTTAAATTGTCTTCATATGTTCTGATTTAATTTCATAAAGAGGCATCAAAGTTAAATCCTGTGTTAAAGAGTAGTTGAAAAATGATAAAATTTTAAATATAAAATGAGACCATTTATCTTTGATATAAAATGATCACATTAAATTTAACCTTGGGATGTGAAATTGGGTGGCTATAATTACTCCATTGTTTAAGCTCAATTTTCAAAAGAAATTTTCTCAAACTATCTAAAATATTAAATTTCACATCAAGTGGTTTTAATGAATTGTGTATACAATGCCAAATGTTAAATATTAATTTCTGTAAAATATCTCTTGAACTGGGAAATTGAGCGGCGCCATGTGATCCTTTCCTACTAACTACTTAAAAAGTGTACGACCATGATTACAATCTTCTCGTTCATTCAGAGCACTGACACCATTTAATCCATGGGACCATACACAATTTGTTAGTGAGCTGCAACTAATTATTTACGCCAAACCCTTTTGAGGGATGTAGTTTGTATAAGGATGTAACTTTAAACAATCAAATTAAAGCACACTTCCAAATTTTACCATAATTATAATTTTGGTGGCAAAAATTCATAGGACGGAAATCTTAAACTTCAAAAAATAGTTCAAATCAAATAGATCCATAAACATTCGAAAATCTTGAAAATGGATAATTTAAATAATGTCTTACAATATACATTATTTTTAGGATTTAAATATATTTTTTATTTTTATATTCATAAATCTTGAAGTCAAGATAATCGATTAAACACCAAGATAACCTTTTATGATGAGAGTTTTGAAGTGCGTCTTACTGCAACATTTAATGTTGCAGCCTTATATAAATCTTTTCCTATTGTAAAATAAGCACCAGTCCATTGGTAACGAGACCCCTCCTCTTAGATTCCATCACCGATCAGAAAAAAAAAATCCATTTCAATAAAAAGGAAAAATGAAAGACAAATTCAGCATCATCACTTCAAAATAACAAAGAAAATGAAAATAATTCATGGCACAATTTATTTCAGCTTTCCCAAGAGAGCAAGCAAGTGCGCTCCCAGAAATTTCACTGTACACCTAGATAGAGAGAGAGAGAGAAAGAAAGGTCCAAGTCGGTACACCACCTTGGTGAATGCTGATCATGTACAAAATAGTTCAGTGTCTCACAAAATTTCCCCTAATTAATTCCATTGACAAAAAGATGGGACGAAAAAAAACAAATGATGAAAAAAGAAACATCATTTTCCTATAATTCCTTTTTGAGCTTCAACTGATAGCTAAAACCTGAGAAAAAGACCAGAACCAATAAGCCCCTCAATCCAAAAGCTTCACTCCAATCAAGCCGAGAGAACGAGAGAGCAAGCTCTGAGGGGCAAATACAAATTATCGTATATATGAGAGTGAAGGAAATCGATTTTTCGTGTTCATCATCACCAGAGCGATCAATCAATGCCCAAGCTTGAATAGGGTTCAAACCCACCCTAACAATAGAAATACGCATAAGCAATGTAGTGTCAACACACCCTCAATAATTTAAGGAAAGTATACAGAAAGACTATTCACCTTCGGTGCAAATAGGCCGTAAGCACCCCTAACCAGTGACCTTGCTCAAGGTTCCAGAAAGTCTTTTTTAACTTTGTAAGAGGAAATAGCACACCCCTGCCGCCCAGCTAGGGGAGATTGTAACCCCTTTGTACAAAGGCAAATAGTCTTGTAGTATATAATCCCATTTGATTATTATATTGTCTAAAAATCAAGCAACTAGAGACAGATTGGAAGAAGATAATCTATGAATGGAACGAACCACAATTATAATGAGAACCAAATCTATGCATTCAAAACCAGGAAAGCCCAAATGCATACGGGAAGCTTTAAAAAGAAAGAACTACCATAAGTGGGGTGGATGAACAGGATGAGAAAGATACAAAACAAAACAATAACTAAAATGGAACTGGGGTGACCAGGAAAACTAATAAACTACAAAGCAGCATATATAATTTTCTAAGGAATGGTATTATTCCTATATATCAGAGGAGGGAGAAAGAGATATTCAGTGGGAAATGCTACTCACAGAACAGTCGTCGTGGACACGCCAGATGGTCTCGCCAAGAAGGTTGGCCACTGAAAGGATGGTAAGCTGAGGAAAATAGTTCTTCTCCATCACAGGTATGGTGTTTGTGATTATGACTTCCTGAAATAGACCTCCTGCTAACCTCTCGATAGCAGGAGGGCTACAAGTTCACAGAACAGAAAAAATTATTGCCTGTATTAAAAAGACACATTACACGGGAAGATACTCGAGAAAATTATTGCCTGTATTAAAAAGCCACATTACACCTAATCTCGAAGGTCACTTTTTAAAGCACCATAAGAAGAAGTTCATCTATGCTCAGCCAGGCCTGGGGTCTGAAACATAAGGCCATAAGGGAGCATAGTAATCAAATGCGGCAACATTGAGGCAGCATGTCCCTTGCCGCACTTGTGGAAGGAAATATGACCCATGAGCAGGGTTAAATGGATTAGATCGTTTCATTTTACATGTGAATTACATTAAAGAATATAGATAGAAAATGTCCCAGTAAATCTACCAGCAACTCTAAGGTCCACATTAGAGATGAATAATAAATTACAATGATAACTATCACATGATTACATATATGTGTTATTCTTTATGTTCTTATAAATCTCATAATTTTTTTAATTTATTTATTGTGCCGTAGGATGTGATGCATCCCCATCACAGCCTCATTGAGACACAGTGTGCATCAGACCCCTTTGCACCTCCCACCACATCCCGCATTTAATAACCTTGTTAGGGAGTTCAAAAATGGTTTCTTAAATTCATATTTTGTGTTTGCACTTTAACTCAAAGATAACAACTACAAAATCTAACAGAACAAGTATGTAATGGCTTGTGAATACCTAAAAACAGCATGTGTGCAGCATGCGTAGACTTCCCTTGCACCCTCTTGATGTAGAAGCGCAGCGCCATTTGTAATAGTCCCTAAAAACACCAGTTATCTACGAATCATTTTCTTCTAGACAACAAAGACAATAGTGCATGATAGAATTTAATTAAAAAACAAAACCACAAAAAAGTAACAAAAATCTAAATTAGAATCTATCTCAGCGCAACCTTTGGCATTGTGGGCAAGCAATAAAACACCACAACAATCAAAACACATGCAAGCAAGGTTAGACAGCAAGTGCAGAGAGTAATATCTCAAGGCTCTTGGGAAGTTTTGTAATAGGCCGATGAATTCTAATGGCATGAATTCAGATAGGCCCACCTGCAGTATCAATCATGTCATCCACCATTACAGCAACCTTTCCCCTAACATCCCCTATCAAGTTCATAACCTGCATATGGCCAAGTTAGATACACTCCTTTCATCACTTCTCAATAACACTTTGAAAGCATAAAAATCGAAAAAAAAGAGAAAATACATAGGATACAAGTGAGACAAGGTCAAAAGGTCAATATAAGGTCCAAAAAATTATCCAAGTTCACCAAGACTATTCCAAATGCCACACTTCTGCAACTAAAAGATAATGCAAAACAAGCATAAGATAACAGGATATGACCAGGAAAGGGTAGTTCAGACGTAAACTTTGTCCTACTTGGGTAGCTTCCATTACCTCAGCAACATTGTGTCCTTGGCGCCTCTTATCCACAATTGCAAGGGGTGCATCAGATAGTTTCTTGGCGAAAGCGCGAGCTCGAGCAACACCACCCACATCAGGTGAGACAACAACCAAATCATTCGATGAAATCGTCTTACTAGCCAGGTAATCCAGAATCACAGGCTACACAGATGCCCACAAATAGTAAATGACCAAACAATCCCAACTACTAGGTTTTCATCTTTTGAAGAGGCCAAACTTAATTGAATTTAAATATGTGCGAAATCTTGCATACAGGTATGGCGGTCTATTCATTTTTTAAAAAATGGCTATTTAGAACATAGCTAGCATTAACTTTCGAGTATGGAATATTAACAAATTACCTGGCCGTACACATGATCCACAGGAATATCAAAGTACCCCATGGATTGGCCAGAATGAAGATCACATGCAAGAACACGATTCGCACCGGCCTCTGTAATTAAGTTTGCGACAAGCTTGGCCGCAATGGACTCACGTCCTTGAGTCTGAACAGCAGAAGTTAACAGAGAAAAGTGTATGCATATAATTAGCTGATTACAACATACAAGTAGCACATAATCCAACTTTAAGGTGTGAATAAAATGCCTAAAGTTAGTGATAAACATAAGAACCATCAGGGCATGATCAACATGATTGAGCTAATGTAATGTTAGTTCCATCAACTTAATGATCAATATGACCAAGATCCAATCAAGTTGATGGTTTAAGAGAAGAAAAAAGGGGGGAAAAAATCCATGCAGTGACTGACATGATAAAGCAGAAAGAAGAAATACACGTGAAAGGATGATATAAGTCATCAATGAATTCAAGTCACGTGGGAGAGATATAAAAAGTAGATGGTACAGCAACACTGTATCTCAGGTCAGTAATGTATAAGAAAAAATTGCAACTTCATTATTGAATCAGATAAATAAGCTAATCAGTTCATTACAGATTTAGAGCTAGAAATACCTTTCTATCTGCTCTTGCATATCCAAAATATGGAATAACAGCAGTTATATTTTTGGCAGAGGCTCTGCGACATGCATCAATCATTATTAAAAGCTCCATGAGATTCTCATTCGCTGGAGGGCAGGTGGGTTGCACTAGGAACACATCACATCCTCTTACACTTTCTTGCAGTTGAACATAGATTTCACCATCAGCAAATCGCTTTATCTTTATTTTCCCGAGTTCCAGGCCCATGTAGCATGCAATTTCCTATGTGCAAATAACAAAGAAATGCAGGAGCAACAAATGATACATTCACATGATAAGGAATGAAATACAGTCTTCATGGTTATCTTTTATCAGATTTCCCACTTATTTCAAATTTGAAATATAGAGGGATTTACTTGGGAAAGTGTAGGATTTGCTGTGCCCGAGAAAATGCGCAATCTTCTATCGTTATTTGAAAGAAAATCACGAGAATAGTTCAAAGGCAAAAAATCAGGTCCACATAGATCATTGAACGCTGGAATGCATGGGCTTCCATTAGAAAACTGCAAGGGTTCCACCAATTTACACCTCTGTAGAAACCAAAACAAGAACATCTCAGTGGAAAAACAGCATCCACGAATTTACACCTCTGTAGAAACCAAAACAAGAACATCTCAGTGGAAAAACCGCATCCAAGAACAGAAAATTTAGGGAGAGAGAATGCCATCAGAGAAGCACATTACCTAAAAGATTATGAGTGATTCCCAAGCCCACAAAGTACCCACAAATGCATAAGCAAGGAGAGAATAAGTTCAAAAACTACATAGAAATAACAAAATATCTAGTTTTATCCCCAAAGCCGAAACAACAGGTTTGTATTGTCCCATTATGAATTTACAGAAGCAGCCACTAAGATTCAAATTTGGTAAAACAAGATGCAAATGACAAGGCTAGGTTGAAGTCAACACAAACTGCAGGATAAGCATAAGATATTCAAACCAATATCCATTGATATTCATCCTTGAAATGGAGGCTTATGGAATGAGACCTAAAAAACAAGAATGACCCCAATAGCGGTTTCCATTCTCTCCACTACATGCATCACTTAATTCAATAGAGAGTGTATAGCACACTTGCCCTAAACTAAAAGGATATATCATTCTCCATGACCTGCAATTGGGGAACAGTTTCCCAGAATAGTACAGGAACACATAGCAAGACATTAGTCATCAAAAGCAAAATTTAAAGAGTGTCAGTTGAATGATTTCAAGGCAATGATACCAGAAAGCAACAGTAATATGGATAGCCATACGCACAAATCAGTTACACTTAAGAAAAAAAGAAACGGCTATAGAATTGAGACTCTTAGAAATTAATATTCGGGCCAAAAAAAGTGCATTTCAGTTATCGCAAAAAAAAGAGAAAGTAGAACCGTAGTTCAAGTCATAATAACATACGGTGGAGAAACAAACAAATAAGATACGGTAGAGAAACAAACAGCCACCACTGGTAAAAAAAGTTATTCTTCCACTAACCTGTTGTTTCACTACAATTGCCAATGATTCAATACTTTGCCGATATAGGGAAATGATGATAAGAATTCAAAACTGCTTGTTTTTTTTGTTTTTGAAGAACTCGACTGTATTATAATTAAAATAGAATAACCACATATTAATCATATGCACATGACCATATACAGATTGCCAAACTAAGAGCATATTAATCTTATGCACATGACCATATACAAATTATGTGGTCTCGAAAAACAGTAAAACTCTTGTACAAATTTGAGTTTGGCTTCCCCACCTATGAGTGATTCAGAATTAGGGTATTGCTGATGGCCCCTTTTTGGGCCAGGCCATCAGCAGTGTTATTGCCCCTCTGACCAACATGCAGGATGGAAATGTTGAGCGGTGCACTCAGTGCAAAAAAATTCCTTATAGACGACTTCTGCTCTTTCTTTTAGTCCATCAAGGTGAATAAGCATTTCAGAATGACAAGTGTCTTTGTCCATTCAAAAAATTAAATACACAATCAACAGCACAACTGAACGCAAAAGGTAATAAGAATTAACACAACTTATTGCTGTTAAACTGTCATTTTCTAACCCTCAAAGCAATGAAGAAAATAAAACAACCTGTAACATGGAATCACAAAAAAATTAACAGAAAAAGCACATTTGCAGTCACTTGTGCTATCAACTATACATCAAAACTATTATTCAAACTGAATTAACTAATCACATGTCAAGAAAAACTATATCCAAAAAGAAACAACTACAATCTGAATCGAGAACAGAGAGAGTACAAATGCGAGCCATTGAGAAAGGAAACGGGCTTTACCACTCCACCCTGAAGGAATGTGCGATTCTCCGTCCTTTTATTGTTAGCGAAAGGAGACGAACGGGAGACGAACAGAGAAGAAGATAAAAATGCCACTGAAGCCATGATAGAAACTCCCTGCTATTAAAGAGAAAAACCACACAAAAGACATTCATTAACAAAGGGATCCATGAACTATGATGAACACGAAGAAAAAGAATAAGAGGATAAAGAAGAAGAAGCCGGTGAGGAGATGGAAAACCCTAATTCAAGAAAAAGGCAGGACCATTACCCACCTAACGAATTGAAGAAAACAAACCCACCCTCTCTTCCAACTCAAGTAAGCCCCAACTAATAGAGAGAGAGAGAGAGCGCCGGCACATAAAATTGAGAGAAAGAGAGAGAGAGAGAGAGCACAAAAATTTAAGGGTGGGGGACCCAAGACGACGATAGGGACCAGAAGTAGCACGTGCAAGTTCCTGCCCATGGAGAAGATGATCATACACACGTGACATACCAGAGTGCGAAATTCTTACCAATGTACTCTATGGAGAATTAGGGGCGTTTGGATACCTGCAAATATATGGAGAAATAGGGGCGTTTGGATACCTGCAAATATATCGTCGGTCTCTTAAATATATTACGGATATGGTAGATTACTGCCTAATACATTATTGCAAATAGATTCTTATTGTTTAGTAGTACATAAATGCAACTTTAGATGTAGATGTAACCTGATAAATACATTGTTACTGTTTAACTATATTAAAAGAAATTTAAAAAATGTTAACCAACAATTTTTTCTTTTTTTTACTTTATATCCAAGACATGGTTGAAGGTACAATCCCCATTAATATGCAGTTTAAACTTTATAATTGCATCAGACCTAAGAATTAGCCACACCTTTTGTATGCCTTTGTGTCTTGACTTGAAATCACATATTTTCAAGATGTTAAAACTTTGAAATAACATACTTTTATTATGATAAGCCATTATAGTTTTTATGTTTTCTTTTTTTTGTGTTAAAGCCTTTCTATCATCTCTTTCCAAAAACTTTTATAGGCAAATTCAAAAGAAAAAAAAAGTTTGAAAAAATTTGGCCAGTAACCTAAAAGGCTTTATGAGTAAATGAGATATATGCTATTATATTTTTTATGTTTTCTTTTCTTGTGCTATTATCTCTCTCCAGAAAACTTATATGGCAAATTCAAAAGAATAAAAAAAAATTTGGACAGTAACCTAAAAGGCTTTATGAGTAAATGAGATATATTGGAGGAGAAATTATACTGGGGCATTAGAGAAGATTGAAGAGGTAAATTAATTTTTTTTTAAAAAAAACAATTCAAACGCATTGATTTGAGATTCTCTATGAGTGAACTCAAGTATTTCGAATTTATCAATAAATAGTAGCAGACAAAAAAAAAAAAAAAAACCAAAAAATAAACAAATTGATCTTAGCAAAGAACCCAAATCCGTTTATTTTTTTTATTTTGGATATCTGAAAATAAAGTCGCAGAAAATAAGGCTCGGGTTGTTGTGTGATATTTCGAGTTTTAGTGGCTAGTTGATATGTGATTTTTGAGGTGATGGGGATACTGTGTGATATTTCGGGTTGAAGGAGATGTCGCTCTTATGTGATTTTTGAGGGGTTGGGGTTACTGTGTGATATTTGGTGTTTTAGCTGTTAATCGTAGAAGATGGGGCTAATATATGATTTTTGAGGTAAGGCCCTCTACCATTTGCTAATTTTATTTTTGGGAAATCTCAATTAATTTTTTTCTTTTCCTTACCATTAAAGTATATTCAAACTATGAGAATGTCATATTTCCATGTAATCTATTCTTATGTAATAGATTTACTGGTTTCCAAATAGCTCCTCAAGGTACACATTAAGAATCCATCATAGAAGGTTGTTTTAGGGTGGAAAATTCTTTTATTGATCATCATTTCGATATCGAGAAGTATGAATATGAAAAGGAAAAGATATCTATTTTCAATATTTTATGTATTTATAGATCTACTTGATTTAAACTATTTGTTTAGTTTTAAAATTTTATGATTAGAAATAAAAAATGATTCTCGAGTCATCTTTAAGAATTTTTTATATCAAAGTTACATTTATGATAAAATTTTGAGGTGCACCTTAATTTGATTATTTAGTGATTTTAAAAACGGATTGGTGACTGGGATCGAGCAACGCAAAAACCAGTCTAGATTTCCATTTTATTGTACAAAAAAAGTAGTGAACCGGCAAAAAAACACATGCAAAAACTGTGAACCGATCAATAATAGGTTTGAATCGGTGAATCAGCATTTTTACTGTAGCAACACTCCGTTTTACTAAGCGAATCGCTAGTTCTCTTCTAGACCCAGACGATTTCTTATATATTTATAAAATCACCACAGGGTGACCGATTCCAAGGTCCGACCAGGCCATTATGTGCCGACCTAGTGTTTTTTAAATTGCTGGTTTAAATACGTATATTTTGGTAAGTGAGGATTTGAGCCCCTACCCATTTTTTATCAATAAGAAACAATGTTGCAAAAAGATACAGAGTTTATGGTACAGTTCTTTCATACAAAGTCGTGGCCATATCAAAAAAAATAAATGGAGAAAGAAAATCATATGGCTCAGCAAGCCAAACTGTGGCCTCAGAGAGACTTGCAACACTCTTGGCAAAGTGATCGGGCACTAAGTTGGCCTCTCGATAGATATGCGTAATACTCCATGGGCGGGCATCGAAGTGGTAAAGGCACTTTATTGTCATAGTACAGAGATTCAAGGGGGGACCTATAGCGGCCGCGAAGGGAATGCACTAGAATCCACGAATCGCTCTCAATGAGAAGTGGATTGATTGCTTGAATCTATCTTAATGGATTTTTTAATCCATACTTTTTAGTGATTCATGATATAGGTTAAGATGATCATGAGTATGAAAAACAATAAATTTTTCAATATTTAAAATGTAAGTTTTTTTAAAAAAATTTTCTACACCGTCTATTCGCGTGACTTTTCCTTATTTCATTTAAGGGAAAATTACAAAAGACCCCTTTCATCGAACATTTTTACAACGTACCCCCAACTAAAATTTTGTATCGCTATATTTACCCTACTGAAGCTTTTCTAGCAAATTACAACCCCCAATCAAGAAGTTAAAGTTTTTAAGACCAAAATGCCATCTCTCTCTTCTAAAACCTACTACATAACTTTTCCCATAAAACACAAAAGGCGGTCTAGCAATATCCCAAAGCGATCTGGCACTGACAAAGAACGGTCTAGCAATAGACCCATGTAGTCTGGCATTGCCAAAGAGCGGCTCGACAATAGGCCCATGTAGTCTGGCACTGCAAAAGAGCGGTCCAACAATTGGCCCATGCAGTCTGACACTGCCAAAGAGTGGTCCGACAATAGACCCATCCGGTCCGGCAACAAACCCATGTGGTCGGGCAATGTCAAAAAACAGTTCAGCACTTTTTTAAGTTTAATGGGGTTCGACAATTGGTACATGATGGTCCGGCAGCCCATGTAGCTTTTGGTACAATGTGTAAGCCTACGTGAATGTCCAGCCATATGTACGGAAAAGGGTATTTTCGACCAAACAAATGAACATTTCTTTACTTAGGGGTATTTGATAAGAAAGTATATTTTGGGGTAAAAAGTGAGAAAGAAAGTATGATTGGGTTAAGTTGCATAGGAAGTCTATGATTGCGGGTTATTTGTAATTTTACCTTATGGGAAAATCTATTTTCATATCTAATTATAAAATTTTAAACTAAAAAAATGGTTAAAATCAAGTAGATCTATAAATATATGAAAATCTTGAAAATGGACGATCTAGATAATGTATTGCAAGATGCACTATTTTTTAGACTCAAATTTTTTTTTTCTTTCATATTCATACATCTTGATGTCGAAATGATCAATTAGAGGTTTTTTAAACATTAAAGCAACATTTTCCAATGGATTTTTGAGGTACATCTGTAATTCTACATTTTAAAGTTGCAACTTTATATAAACTTTTTCTTTTTATCTTATATTGCAATTTAATTCGGAGAACTCCATAAAAATACGTGTAATATCCTAAATAGTAGATAAGTATATTTTGAAAACTCTCTCTTCTAGAATTATTACATGTAAAAATTTTGTTTCAGAACCCGCATCGGTGTGGCGGATCATTTACCCGTAGATTTTTGTCAAATTACTGGATTGGCAATTCGAGGATCGGGTATAGACAGGTTTGAATCGCTTATTCAAACAACAATATTAATCAATCAATAAAATTAAAACAAGAGTTTATGGGATAGCAATTTAGAGGAAATCTAATAAAATATTAGATAAACTTGAAAACATATTTACAAGCCTACAAGGGTTTCAGGGAAAGTGGACCAGGACTCATACCATCTCAGTCTGGATTTAGTCTCGGCCGATTCTTGTCCAGATGGTGATCTAGATCGGAAGGCGCAGGTATTAAACGCTATCGTCCAGATTGATTAATAAATTTTTGAAGTTTTCAAAATTTAGTAATTAAAAGGTAAAAATTATTCTTAAGCATAAAACTTTGTACTTAGAATTACAAATTGTTTAAATTTTTTTTAAAATGAACAAAGGTATTTTCCTTTCTAATAGCATGACGACGTAATTACTTTCAAATATTTGTAAAAATTTGAATTAAGCCGTTAAAATTAGTCGTACATATTTTTAAGAGAAAATAATAGATTTAAATTTGATGGAAGGTAAAAATATGGCTTTGCATCAATGAAATATCGTTTTAACTCTATTGATACAAATATATAAAATTGTAATAAATCATTTTAATAAGGGAAAAATTTATATAGAGCCGAGGCTCGAAACAATCAAATTTGAACCTATGTCAAAAGTTTTACTAAAAGAGGTTGTTTTGATGCTCAAATATCTTTAAATTGATCATCTCGACATCAAGATGTATGGACATAAAAAAAAAAAAAGAATTGCAAGTTTTGGAAATAGTGTATTTTGTACCGAATTTTTGGACCACCGATTTTCAACATCTTCAAGCTTTCCTAGGCATTTAAACTTTATAAATATATTTTAAGGCTATTACAAAGATTTCGACACTACTTAAAGGTAGGCTCTCATTTAATTGTTTAGAGCCTAGGCTCTATTCAAACCGCACCCTTTAAAAAAGGCGAGTTTATATGCTTCCCTTACAGCAGAAAACTTATATACTTCCCCTTGTCCAACTGTCCAATTACAACAAAAAACTTATATCTTTCTCCTTATCCAACCGTCAATTCTGAATGGAGGGCTAAGATTGCCCCAATCACAATGTCATACCTCTACATTATTTTATGTTTCATTTTTTTCTATAAACTATTTTGACACCAAATTTGGATGTCCATTCCTCTACTAAACTCGCACTAGAGAATAATTATATTTTATTGAATAATTATTTTTAATTTTTTTTAAAAGTGCGCCCCAATGAAAAGATGACACATACCAAATTTCATACTCATACAATTTGTACAAAAAAGCTAAAAATAAAATACTTTGAAACGTCGTATCTAAAACCAAATGGCTCTCTTGATCAAAATTGGACAGCTGGATAGTAAAAAGATAATAGAACTTCTATGCTGTAGGGGAAGTATAAAACTTTTCCTTTTTAATAAACATAACACATTCTTTAAGATTTGAAAATTTTAGTTAAAAATGGAACTACGATATATCTTTAAAAATTAAAGAATTATAGGAAATACAACTTTGCTATTATCATAGTGACAAAAAAATATTTTATTCTAAGAAAAATTTTATATTAGGTTGCCACCTTACACTGTTAAAGTAAAGTGCACCTCAAAAATCCTACATACGAGAGTGTTTCGGCTTTGGAGAACCTCCAAGTAATCATCTTGACATTAAGATGAATGGATATAAAGAAAAAAATCGAATTCTAAGTCCATAAACTAGTGCATCTTGTAACAAGTTTTATATATATATATATTTGTCTACAGTTAACAAACTCTCAAAATACAAAAGTTTAAATTAGTAAGAGTTGTGATGCTTTAATTTATCAAAACAATCATTATTTTTTATTAAAAATTATTTAAATAGGTAACTTTACTATTAAACAAGGACAAATTTGAAATTTTCACAAAAATACAATGACCATTTTGGAAGTTAGTGTCCTTGAATTTTATTTGTAAAGTGCTCTTATCTTCTAGTTAAAATTTCAACTTTATCCCTTATAGAGATTACATAAATACCCTTTGT